ACTAAACGTCATCATGCCCTACATTGGCCGCCTTTAGCTTAGCGGTGGTGAGGTTTAGTCATGTGACCCTGATGTAGTTCCTTAGCCCAACATTAGCCGCCTTTAGCTTAGCGGTGGTGAGGTTTAGTCATGTGACCCTGCTGTAGTTCCTTAGCCGCCTTTAGCTTAGCGGTGGTGACATGAAGTCATGTGACCGTGCTGTAGTTCCTTTATAGCCAAACATCAGCTTTTTATTTCAGAAATCACAAAGTGGTGTTAATATGTGGCGATTATCCTGCGCAACAAAAAGTGTAAGTATCATAAATGTTTTTTTGACACAAAGATTAAGTTCTGCCAAAAATCTCAAATCCCATGGAGAAATAACATTGGATTTTCAGAGTGTTACCTCCCCCCTCAGTATCGATCAGCTTGACCCTGAGATGGAGCTCCTTTGTTTCTATACAACTTTGACCTCTGACCCCTGACCTCAGCTCCCTCCCCCCTGCACCTTATTTGCACACCACATCCCATTGTTGCGATGGCTATAGGGACCTCTAACCCCCCCACTCGGGCACCGGCATCTGTTATCAATTAAAGGATGGGACTCCTTCCTTTTTCTGAACACTGCGTTTATGTTTGAAGACATGTGAATGCAATCAGAGCTGCAGAGACTGGCATTATATTTCACGAACTCAAAACAAAATGCATCATTAGTGGGCTGTAAAGGAGATGGTAAGTGGCCAAAGTTTGCAAAATCTTGAACATTACTATTGCTAAATGTGAAGGTTGTACGTCCTCACTCAGTCTCACCTCTCCCCTCTGGATCCCCGGCTCCTCTTCGGCCTCCTCTCGCTGCCCAGACACGGGGCTCCGTTTGGGCCGGTGACCCGCACCGACTCCAAACCTCTGGAGGATTTCTTGAAGCTGAACTCAACAGCTTCTCCTTCTTTGAGGCTGCGGAAACCCTCCATGTGAAGTTTGCTCTATAACGAGACGGTCAGGATTACATTTTATGTGCGTTTTAGCAAACTCATATCACATTTTCCCAGCAAAAAATCCACCCAACAAACAATAAAAGCAGTGTTTGTGTGTTCAGCTGCAAGCTAACCAGCATTAATGGTCATCATGTTGGTTATTATACATCATATTTGCTGACCAATGTGACCTCAGCTCTGATGACTGCAAAAGGAAAATAAGCTAAGAGAAAATGCTCTGTTTTAGTTTGATACACACAGTACAGTAAGCTCACACACACTGTTTTATGAACATATAGGTTCACCTCCTGAATTAAAAACAGAACAAATGAACCAAAGAAAGTGAATATCATAAAGCAGATTCAGGCAGTATTGATTCACACTTAAAGTATTAGCCTACAGAACAGTTAAGCTTACAGAGAAGAGATAGAATCTGATCCAGACAAAATGTGAGACAAAGAGAGGATTTTGGAGAACAAAAATTGACAATTTTAGAAAAAGTTGACATTTTAAAAAGATATGTATTTGGAAAAGACATTGTGGAAAAATTTCAGAATTAGATAAAAAGTGAGAATTTGGAAATAAAAGTTCAAATTTGATGAAATCTGAAATCTATAAAAATCTGAAACAAGTTTGAATTTTTCAATTTTTTTTAAAGTATTTTGATAATCTCTAAAATCTGAAAAAAGCTATATTTTTGAAAAATAAATTCAGAATTTGAGAAAAAATCGAAATTTTGGAAAGAAGGTGATAAGTGCCTAATGTGAAAAGCCAGTGCATAAGAACTTCTACTGCAGTACAGGATCTGAATACTGCACCTGATGCACGAACAAGTCCTGCGCGGGACCCCGTCCCGGCTGCTCATGGTCAGGAAGCCGAACCCCAACCTCACATTGAACCACTTGCAGACGCCGCTGCCCAAATCCACTTCCTGCTTCTCCTCTTCATCGCCGCATCCACTTCCTGCTGCACAATAAGCAGGGAGAGGGTAGATGAGTCCAATTATTCAGAGTTTAATAAGTCGACATGTTTTATGAGGAATTGACTTTAAAAAATACGAGAGACGAAAGAAAACATCCAGTCAGAGTTTAGGTTATTAAACACTTTAATTTAGATATTATCAATTGTACATGTCTAAAAAAACATTTGAGTTTTAAATTCATCAAGTTTTAATTTCATACTCTATTACCAACAGGCCTTCCAAATAAAATGTTTCTTGCTTCTTCCCCGACAAATGTGCATTAAAATCCACATTTTAAAGACAGCGAATCTTGCAATCCCCTTTTTCTGTTTCCTCAAATTATCTCAGATCAGGAGAGATTTTTGACAAAGTGTGTTATCTGATATCTGTCATATCTTATTTATTACAATCAACACCATTTCAATGATCAAGATCTTCAACAACACTATCACATATTTTCCTAATGGCAAAACATTATATATTCTATTCCCTTTACTGTAACAATTATACATAGATCAGAGCACAAAAACACTTATAAATACCAGCACAGTTATCATTAAAACTCTAATATTACAATTAATAAAAACACATTTAATCAGTATGACATTTGTGATATCAAAATGGTAACTTAATATACATTTTTTGCAAACGTGTTTGTGCACAGACATCAACAAAAAGCATGCCTAAAGCACAAAAGCAAGTTTGGAGACATTATTGTAAAGAGGAGAACCTAGTTTAAAAAAAAGAAAAATAACGTAAGTGGAATAAAATCAAACGCTCCCTTTTTCCTCTTTTCTATTCAACCTCAATTTTTTCGGGGGAAAAGCTCTAGAAACCTTCTGCCATGGTGGGAGCTCCCCTCAGCCTCCTGCAGAACATTCTCATCCTTAAAATCCAACCATGTGTGTGTGTGTGTGTGTGTGTGTGTGTGTGTGTGTGTGTGTGTGTGTGTGTGTGTGTGTGTGTGTGTGTGTGTGTGTGTGTGTGTGTGTGTGTGTAATAGCTCTCTGAAAGTCACCGTGGAAATGGAAAAGCCACCGGCTCCTGCGGAACATGGAAGCCCAGGGGTCACCCAGAGGGGCTTCTGGGAACAAAGCCTCGACACGCGCTTGTTTGTACACACACACACAAACACACACACACACACACACACACACACACACACACACACACACACACACACTCGCTGATCTCTGCACAGCTGATGAAAGGAATCAGAGTTACAGCCTGGGATTTTCCTGGGATTTAAATGGCAACAAAAAGTTAGGACATCGTAAAGAAGTGTGTGTGTGGCCTAGCATTACTATCCTTGTGGGAACCTAGATCTGTTTACACAGTCACGTGTGGGGACTCGCCTCCCTTATGGAACATAATGAGGGGAATCATTAATTTTAGGGTGAA